CACACACACACACACACACACACACACACACACACACACTTTTTATAATTACATATAAATTATGTATTATATTTATATAATTATGTATAATTGTATAATATTATATACAATATTATATAATTGTATATAAAATATGTTAATTTTTTATATAATTTTATATAATTATATATGAAACATTTTTTTCCGGGTATAAACATGATAGTCTCAAGCACAATAGTACACCAAGATGCTGACCAAATTGACAAATAACAATCCAAAATTAAATATGTGTCATAATTGTTTATAGCTAATCCATTTTAAAGTAACGGATTTAAAAAGCATTATATTCATTTCTAATATAATGATAGATCTGCTACATTTTTCACAGATTCGTTACTTGATAAAAGTCTTTGTCACTCACCGACTGATGCACAGCAGTGGAGATGGACGCGTTATCAGTGGCTACATAGTTCTGTAATATACAAACATAAGATCCAAATTAAAATAACGTTTAAAATAATTAATAATTCAAAAAATAATTTTATACACATTGAATTTTTCTAATCTATATATCCAAAAATTTTAAAAATAATTATACATTTTCTGAAAATTATCTTCATGAGAATAAATTTTCATAATATTTTAGATTAATTCTTTTTCTTCAATTATTATTTTTAGTCGAAATAAAACAATCTAATGGAAAGAAATGACTTATTTTTTATGCAAGCAATAAGCTTATTTACACAAAATTGCTCCATTGAAACTCATTGCTTTTCCTAAATCTCCTCCTCCTTAACCTCCTTCTGCTACTCCTCCTCCTCCTCCTCCTTCTCCTCTTCACAGAATTGTCAAACCTGCTTCTCGTCTCTCTTCTCTTCCTATTGCTTACTTTGTGACATGTAAACAGTATCTAGTTATTGAAACAAATCATTTATTAAAATTAAGTGCAATTGCAAATAATTATTAAAGATGCGCTCTGTACTCTTTTGTACGTACAATACTTGTAAGCATCATTTGTCCTGTTTAATATTTGATATACAAGGATGAACTGATGCTTACAGCATATGAGCGTGAAAGCGGAACGCACCCTAAATATTATATCATATCATATTTTGTTCATATTGTCAATATTAATTATATGTGTAATTAATTATATGTGATACATAATTCATGCGACAGCAAAAAAATAACGCAGAAAATTTGATACTTGCAATATTTTACAAAATTTGGATATTGGAATGAATCTAAAATAGCGAAAAATTTCTGGATAGTTGACTTTACGTCAAAAACTATTCGACTGCACGAATATTGTTAAATACGTGTTCAAACGAATTATCGATATAAAATTAATATAAATTCTGCTTACCAATTCAATAAGTCGCGACGCCACTCATTTGCCGATCATCTCGTATTTGCCGCATTCTGCAAATAAAACATAAATACAATTATTGTGTCGATTTCGTCTCTCGCATGATCAATTTCACACGCCAAGAGCGACACGATGGCAATGCATGTCCTTCTCTTATAACAATTCAATATTCATTTAAATATTGAATCTATAATTACGCGAACATTAAGTATTGCAATAAACGATACAAGTTTAATATAAGTTCCAATCATTTGATCGATGCCAATCTCGTAATTATATTTGCACTTCATTTACAGATCGAGATATGTAAATGAATCGTAGTTGTAATTAAGATGACGAGATAGCGTTTTTACGCGGTTAACTTGGCGTACCAAAATCGATGCGGCGTAATGCATTTCTCACTCTTGGCGTCGCATTTATGAATTTTCCGTACGTCGAGATATATTTGATGCTCAAAATATGAAAACAATCATAAAAGGCAAGTGTATATTAAAATACGCTCGTCTTTTATAATTGTTATTTCCGTATTGCAGATTGATATTCGAAAATCTCTTTGTAAATTATTCAAGCGATATACTTTCGGTAAATAAGTTTTACAAAATACGCTTTCGAACGGATTATTAATAAGCGATTACTGAATCTATAATCGAATTGTTAAATATCGCATATAAAAATATACATTCAAGTTATACATTCAGGTATTACATAGGTTTTAATTACCATATTTGATCACGCATTTCCACTCGTCTAAGAGCCAGTCCGTTTCGCCGTGTCATCCTATATCCGTTGCAAATGAATTTTACGAATGAAATGTGAATGCGATCGAAATGAGGAAGCGACGTCGCTTTCCGTGTGCAGTCAACTTCACGCGTATAAAAACAACGCGAGACGCGACGACACGACGCGACGTCGCGCGTTTTGATTTTCGATCGAACGAGTATGCAAGAAATATATATTTTCGATTGAATAATCAGTGTGCTATACTAGAATCTGCATACGCGATATTTACACTATTACGAAAAGTAAAGATAAAGTTAATTATTGATTACCTTAGATTATCTAAAGAAATCCAACGATGAACGATCCTTCATGCCGTTTCTCGTTGTTTTATAATCAGCAGAGATTAAAAAAAATCAATGCAAAAAAAATCACAATCGATTCGAAGACAGGGTTGCGAACTTTTTCAACGTTAAAATGACAGGACATACCCCATCCCCTGCTCGAGTCGCAAAAGCGTGAGATCGAGAATTACGCGCTATTTATATGAGCCAAACGGCGAACCCCACCATTCGCATGCCAGCCAATAAGCGCAATACCTCGCGCTTATTGGTTCACGCTAGCTTCCAAATGTGGTATATAAACACTACGCGTAAAAAAAATTTCAGTCTTTTTCAGAATTTGAGAACGTGCGTTTTATGAGGACAGAGAGATCTGTACGCATTCAACAAGCAATGTTAGCATGTATTCAGTACATAGTTCATATTACATATACTATAAAATTTCAAACATAAAAGTGTTTTGAATACGCACTAGAAATTATATTTTTTCCAAAAATTAAAAACCAATTAGAATAAATAAATAAAGACTACCGAAAAAATTGTATGAAAGAAAAATCTTATACTTACTTATACTTATAAAATAATAAGCAATTATAAATTGTAAATCATTTAAACGCCGCGCAAGTATAGAAATATACTTATTACTTAAAGTTCTATAATAAAATTTTAAATCAAAATATTAATATAACAATACTACACTGAATTTTATTTTATTGTTAAGTATTAAATATTAATAATATTAATGATAAAATTAATAATTAAATATTAATGATAATCATGCTCACTTGTGTATAAAACGAAAAACATTATGTTTTTTTGTATATGCAACATTGGAAAATGAACTTAACGAAATTATATCGACGGCAGAGAGAAACCAGAGAGAGAGGACATATTGTTGTATAGTTAACATCTACTTCTTCAGAGGACGGTAGTGCGCAACAGCATTTTGCAGTTATAGATTTTGGGCCGTCATGTCCTCTCTCAAGTTTCTATCTGATCGAATCGTTAAGCGCATGCGAGCGCTGTCGGAAACATTCCAAGCACAAGTAGGAGGCTTAGGAACAAGCTTGCATCAACATTGTTTACTTTTTGTTCGCTTTGAAACGTTTTTTATTAAACTCGTGTTACGGACGTGTTCGCGACGTATACAGTGAGAGAATTACATCTTCATCTTACATTATTCGACGAATTTTCGTTGATCGCGTATTGAACACGTGGTCATTTTTTTCATCAGCATGGAGTCTAGTAACTCGATGCCGCCAGGAATGGATTCTCCCGGCGAGGACATTATTCTGATGGAGACTGTAAAAAGTATAGTGTCGCATGAAGGACGCAATGAAGCAGAGGGAACCGAGGAGGACTTTTTCCTAATATCGCAGGACCAGGCTGTGCAATATCCTGAAGGGAACATCGAAGAAACGATGTCTCACAGGCATCAGACGGAGGTCACATTGACGTGGATGCATCTCTGTAGGATATGCGCTAACACGAGCGATCGTATGATACCCATCTTTGAGGGCGAGGGAGCACAACATGACTTGATCAGTAAAATACTCAAGTATTTGCCGATACACGTGTGTACAATAAACGTCGAGTTTCAGTTCAAGTAATTTGATAAACAACTCGTTGATCATTTGCTTATTGTTTTTCACAGGTAACCGAAAGCGACACTTTGCCGTTGCAATTGTGCGAACGTTGCGCAAACTTTCTGATAGCCTGGCATGAATTAAATGAGGGGTGTCTAAACGCGGAGAGAAAGCTGCTGGAAATGCAAGATTCGCATCTGCGAAATAAACAAGAGGTAAAAATGCATGAAGAGATTTAAAGAATTTTAAGCAGAGATTCTTAAGATTACAAAACTAATTAGCAAGATAGTTAATTATATTCACGAAGAAAAATGAATTAACTGGATTTCTAGTTGAGATAATCAAAATTTTTTAGTTAAATTTTTCAAGAATTCTAATAGACTTAACCAGAATTCTTCATTTATTTTCCACCAGAATTTTAGTTGATTCAACCAGACATTTTTCTCTGTACATTCTGAGAGTTCAAATAAAATATATAATAACATTTGTTTGAACTAGAAATTATAAAATGCACACAAAAGTATTATTAGGCAACAAGATTCACTTTTTTTTTATTTCATATGATCTCTTGCTTATTTGTGTTCAAAATAACATGTACAAGGTAAAGGCTTGCCATTTGTCTTTAGAATTTAAATATATACTTCTTTTTTTGAGAGATTTAACTCTTCATTTACACTCTGTCATTACATCATGTTCGTGGAGCTTCTTCACTTTACTAATCCTAACTAATTTTACATCTTATTTTAGAAAACATGTTTTTCTGTTATAGATATGCTTAATTTTATTCTATTTTCCTATATTATTCGTTTTTTCCTCATTACTTGCTTTTAATATTTTTCTGTAATCAATTTTTTTGTAATTTTTGCTTTTTCATTATCAACTATACAATATTCTAATTATATATTTTAAATATTTGCAGTACTACAATCCTTCTTTGGATAATTTAGAAGTTACTGCACCTATGTTTGGCACAACAGCCAGCACGATCATTGCATCTAATATTACGTCTAATATTACGACTAATATTGCGTCTAATATTACGGATCCACTAGTAAGTGTGATTAAACTAAAAAATAATCCTCTTGAATCAGAAACATAAGAAATTTAATTAAACGTCTTATTACAGCCAAGTCAACAGGACGATGATAAAAGTGGAGGTTGCAGTATCGAAAAAATTAATAAATCTGACAGGTAATGATCTCATATATTTTCCTAATTTGTTAACTAAATAAAAAGAGCACGAAATTCTCTTTCTCGTTACCTGTTCCTCATTTATATGAACGTTTGCTCATGGTCGCCGTATTTTTAGCACATAGATGATAGAATATTAGAATATAATGCGAATAATATATATACAAGTGTCACATAAAGCTTGTTAAACATTTTCCGTGTATCTTACGAAAAGATGAAGACTGTTCGACATCGACTACATACGAGCAATCGTGATACGCGTCATAACGAACTGTGAAACTTCGCTGAGCCACTTTTTATAAGAAAACATAAAAACTGAACAATTTGTCGGCGTTGGATATGCCAAGAACATTTTTGCGACAACTTAACGAAAGATTTTTGAGCAAAGCATAGAAAGAGAAAGGTAACACGCCGTAACAGCCGGGGTGGTTGGCTTTAGCGATTACCTAGAAAAAAAAAACCGAGCGGCTGTGACAGCCGATTCGCAATTCTCCGCTGCGTCATGCCGCGCAATCGCAAAACCTGGAGTCAAGTTTCGGCTATTTTGCAGGTCATGCGGCGTCCGGACACCGTTAAAAGTGTCCCCGGACACGCCGAAAGCATTTTGGAAGCCATACAGGAAACGGTCCCAGCCAAGACTCCGCAACCTGACAAAGCCGAACGCGACGGCCGAGGATTCCAACTCGGTCTGGATCGCCGTCATGGACACGGCGCACGATCAACCATCTACCGTATCTGAACAGCCGGAGAGTAACGATCAGTTGCCTATCGAAGTGAAGGGAGAACCTGTTTCGATGCATCATTCTATAAAAAATTCTGATCTCGAGGACAACAACGAGCTTCGAACGATCACTATCGCACATGAGGTGAAGAAAAGCGAGAGAGATCACATTTCTTCTGACGACAACTCGATGCATTTGATACTTGACAATGAAAAGGACACTAAAGATCTGTGCAAGATTCTTGGAAAAGCGACGCATAAAGAGAATACGTTTCAGTGCGCTGAGTGTGGTAGATGCTTCAAGCTGAAAGACTCATATTTACGACACATGAGAATCCATAAGGATGAGCGACCGTTTACTTGTCACGTGTGCGGCAAACAGTTCCGTGATTCTGGAGGACTCACCAGGCACCTCAAAGATGTGCATGCGAAGGTGAAGAATTTTGTGTGCGATCTATGCGGCAGATCGTTCGCGTCCAAGGCGACGCGAGACGATCACCGACGTACTCATACCGGTGAACGACCGTATATTTGCGATTCGTGCGGGAAGACCTTTAAATCCAAAGCGTCCTTGTACATCCACAGCAAACTACACACCGACGTATTCCCGCACACATGTTCATACTGCAGCAAGCGATTCCGTCGGCGGCAGGAAGTGCTGGCTCACGTAACCACGCACACCGGCGAGAAGAATCATGTGTGCGACGTGTGTGAGAGGAAGTTCCGAGTCAAGTCCGAACTCGCGCGACACAAACTTATACATTCCGATAATAAGCCGTTTGTCTGCGTTCATTGCGGTCTCGCTTTTCGGCAGAAGCGCTACCTGAACAATCATATTAAGAGCCGGCACAACGAATCTCTGCGAGTGTCCTAACGATAAGAAACGTTAGAAATTTAAGCCGAAAGAATATCATGGCCCTTTCCTTCTCTCTGCTTCTCTATGTAGATACAGCCTTTCGCGCCTTCGACGAAATCGATTCAAATCTGCCGCCTTTGTTGTTTTTCCAGGTGCGAGCTGACAAAGGAGAGATCTTTCACGGCATACCATTCCTCGTGTAATGCTGCACTGTGGGCAAGTAATGCCACGATAAAGTACGAAAGCAATCCGATGAGAAGCATGACGCTGATTGCTAAAGAAATTTCGAAAAGAGAAACACGCAATTTGTCAGATAATTGCACTGCAGAAAAATATGCCGAGAAAATGGACTCCAACATTTCAAGAGATCAAGAAAAAAATGAATCGACAATTCTACAGTCAATGAGTGAATCTGTGAAGAAAGGTTATACTTGCAATAATTGCCAACGTGTCTTTAAAAGAAAACACCATCTAATCCGCCATATGACGGACTGCAAATATCATGATTCAGCCAAAGAAGATTCGTCAAGAACGCGTAATAAAGTGACAGAAAAGAAAACAAAGACCGACGATGATACGATAAAAAAGAAAAACCGGTTAGTAGAAGATATTAAGAGCACAAGCGACGATGACGAGTTTTGCTTTCCATCAGTAAAACCATTGAAAAAACAATTCAGAACTTATCCATGCAACTATTGCGAGCACACGGCACAGAAAAAGAAACTGTTAAAAATTCATCTGACGGAGGCGCATCCTGAGGTCGTAAATAGAAGTCGGAAGTCTTTTGTAGCAACAGAAACAGTGCTTCGCGCCCGAATAGAACACGACGGTAAGATTTATTATCATTGTAGTGAATGTGGCAAGAATCTGAATTCACCGTACACCTTCTACTGGCACTTGCGCATCCACACGGGCGAGCGACTATTTACTTGCCACCTATGTGGTAAAAGATTCCGCGTGAATCAGGGTCTGACACGACATTTGAAAGATACTCACGCTGGCATCAAGAATGTACCATGCGATCTGTGCGGCCGCATGTTCTCGACGCGGCGCAACGTCGAGGATCACAGACGCATTCATACCGGCGAGCGGCCATACGTCTGCAATGTCTGCGGCAAAACATTCAAGCAGAAGGCTTCTTTGTTCGTGCATAATCGTACGCATTCGGACGTATTCCCATTTAAATGTAGTTATTGCGATCAGACCTTCCGCACACGACCGCCACTGATGGTGCATATCACTAAGCACACTGGTGAGAAGCCGCATGCGTGCGATATATGCGGTCGTTGCTTTCGTATCAAGTATGAGCTAAAGCGGCATCGATTGATTCATTCTGATGAGAAACCCTGGCGCTGTACCGACTGCAGCCTCTCGTTCCGCCAAAAGCGCTACTTAGTTAATCATAAAAAGCTCAGTCACGAGCCATCACGAAGTTTGGCCGCTCCCCAAGTAACGGGCTGACTCTTTTTTCAGATGTACGCGTCGAGTGTCGAAAGACGAATCGGAGAAATACGCACGAGTCAGCTCGCCAAGGAACGAAGAGTCTGACGTTAATGTCGGAAAAGCTCAATCAATGGTATCTAGCAAGAAATGTCTGTCATCGACGCATCTTAGCGATTTTGACGAGAAATTGGAAAAATACAATTCGGCAAATTCTCCGAACAACTCTGAACAAACGCAGAAATCTCAAGAGAAACATATGATTAATTCTCAAGAATGTACAAAACGATCAAAACAATTATTAAAACAACACGTCAAATTAACTCGCTCGAAAACGACAAAGGGTGACGGAAGTGCCTCTCACAAGTGTGAAGAATGCGGAAAAGTTCTTTCTACATCGTATAATCTGCTAATTCATCATAACATTCACGCTGGCGTACGGCCGTACATTTGTTCCATTTGCAACAAGAGTTTTCGATCAGCGTCTGGTCTGAACAGACACGTGCGCGACGTCCATGACGGCGTTAAAAATTTCGCCTGCGATATTTGCGGTCGTCATCTTGCCTCGAGAGCATCGAGGGACGAGCACAGGCGCACTCACTCCGGTGAGAGGCCTCACGTATGCGAGACTTGTGGCAAATCCTTCAAGCAGAAGGCGTCCCTGCATGTGCACCGACTCTACCATTCAAAGATCCTGCCATATCGTTGCGTTCTGTGCGACCGCGGTTTCAGAAGAAAACAAGAATTGGACAAACACGCGATCTGGCACTCTGGTCGAAAGCCGTATGTCTGCGATATCTGTGACGAATGTTTCCGCAGCAAAGGTTGCATCACCCGTCATCAACGCACTCATACCAATCAACGCTTGTATGTTTGCGTAATCTGCGGCGCCAAATTTACTCAGGAGCGATATCTGAAGAGACACTATGGCAATTTACATACGGCTGTACGCACGTAAGAGACAAGATGCAGGATTTATTTTTGGACAACTGAAATTGTGAAACATTTGCCATTAAACTTGATGCCATCAATACACCAGCTATTAATCCTTCGAACACTTTAAAATTAGATGAGAAACAAAAAGAACTAAACAATCCTTTATAGAAAAATCATTCGTATTGATTTCATTATATTCTGTATCTGTATCGAATCGAAGGGAATTTCATGTATTAAAGAAAAAAACTACAACCAAAAAAACCAGAGATTGCTTTTCTTGGTTAAAATAATTTTTTTAATTTATTGACAAGATTATGATAAAAATCATAAAAATAAACAAATAAAATAAGAGATTAAGTATTACTAAACAAGAAGTATTTGGAATAACTGAGAAACTATATTCTCTAAAATCCTACATAAAAAAAATTTAATCTGACAATTCTCGAGGTCATTAAATAATACAAAAAGAAGCTGAGCAAAGGAAACTGTAAGTAAATTTCATAAGATATATCTTGCAATTATTAAAGAAAATGATAAATATATCGTGTGAAATTTTAAGATTGAAAATTGTTGATTTCAATGCACATTGTTTACAAATAAAATTTTCTTTTCACGAACTTTAAGATTTTGTAATATAAATATATATGAAATTGACTAAAAGAATATTTATTAAATATTTGTTTAAATAAATTAAATATCTTTAACACACACACACACACACACACACAAATTAAATACAAAATGATAATAAAAATATAAGCTTGTTAACAAAAATGATTACTTTTTATTTTTACAGATTAAAAAATGAAGTCACACACGAGAGAAAAATCATCTATAGTTATTGCCAACGAGTGTATAAGAAGGGAGAACGGAGAAATAAAATCAATCCAATCCAAACTAAAACGTCCAATGTAATCGATGAAAATTCAAAAAATATTTTTTTTCCTGCAGATAATATCGATAACGATACATCAACTAAATGTTCGTCTTCCACAAATACATCATCTACAATGTCCTTCTCCTTGACAAATGACAATAAGAAGAAGAGTACAGAAGATGAAGGTTCTAATTCTACTAATCAGATGCGAACAAATTGCACGAAAGGAACAACATCAAACGAGGCTACGCGACAGAATCTTATAGCGGAAATAAAGGAGTCCAATGAATATCTAGAGAAAAATGTCAAACAATTCAAATCCAAAAAAGTTGTGTGCACCAGTCCGTCGATAGTTTGCAAATTTTGTAACAAGAAGTTCCGTTCACGCAAAAATCACTGGGCTCACGTACGCACACACTCGAGTGAGAAATCATACACATGCCACATCTGTGGGAAGCAATTTGTTCAGGGTGGTAGTCTATATTATCATCTGAAACACGTGCATGACGGCGTGAAGAATCACACCTGTGATATATGTGGTCGCAGCTTTGCCATGAAGACTGCCATGGAAGACCACCGACGTATCCATACTGGTGAACGCCCGTATGTGTGCCACACGTGTGGCAAGACGTTCAAAACCAAAGCATCTCTCTATATACACAGTAAGATCCATACAGACGAGTTCCCGCACAAGTGTACTTATTGCGCGAAAAAGTTCCGTTGGAGACAACAAATGTTGGGTCATCTGACAGTACATACAGGTGAAAAAAATCATACGTGCGACGTATGCGGTAAGAGTTTTGGCGTAAAGAACGACCTAACCAGACACAAACGCGTCCATTCCGAAGACAAACCGTATACGTGTCAAAAATGCGGTATCAGTTTCGGTCAGAAACGTTATCTCAAAAGTCATGAACGCTTAAAGTTAGGGACGTGCGGGTACTCGCAAAGTGAACTCCGAGATTTATGTAAAAATCGTATCGAGTTTGATTAGTGTCATCGAATAGTTAGGGTCGGATAAATAAAATTTAATATAAATGTTCCTGATATTAAAAAATTTAAGTTATTTAAAAGGTTTATGATAATATAAAATAAATACTTATACAAACGTATTTAAGATACAGACAGGGTAGTTCGTTATTGATGTTACAATTAAAAGGATAATTCTAAATGGAAAAATATAAAATAAAATCTCACATTGTAAATCTAAAATAGAATTTTTTAATAAAATCTTTAAATTAAATATTTTAAATTAAATATTCTGTTTTAAATTTGAATAACTTGGAATAATAATTTGCTACATAATAGTCAATTATATAAATAATTAGTACTTGTGATTATTAAAATAATTATAAATGAGTAATTGATTATGAGTATTGATTAATTATAAACAATAAAATAAAATTATAACATATGATATCCATATATAATATATAAAATGCGCGCGCGCGTGCGTGTGTGTGTGTGTGTGTGTGTGTGTATTATAAAATATGTATAAACATGTATAAATTGTAATAATTATTTTATAAATATTTCATAAATATTAATAATTATATGATATAATTATTAATAATTATATTAATTTTTAATAAATATTAATAATTATATTAATTTTTAATCTTTAATATCTTGAATTTCAAATATTTTTCAAATGTTTGGGAAGAATATTTATATATAAATAACTTTTTGACATATTTTTCTTCATGTAAAATTATCCTTTTTCTATTTGTATCTATAAATAACGAAGAATGTAATATGCAGCGTGTGTGTGCGTGTGCGTGCGTGTGTGTGTGTTTGTGTGTGTATATATTTCATGAATATTATTTTTAAACATACCCTAGTAATACCTAATAATGCGATGCAATGTAATGCAAAAATTTAATAGATAAGGATATTTTGAAATTTCATAAATATCCATAAATCAAAACCAAATTTTTAATCGTAAATAAAAGAGAATGTTAGTGTGTCTTACATATGTATTACATTAATCTTATTAAAAAAAACATTTAGAAAAAAATTATTCTGAAATAGATTATTTATTGATGTTAATTTTACGTTATAGTTTTTTTTTCCGCATTATGGAATCAATTTTATTATTATTAATATATATATATATATGTACACGTGACGTGACGTGACGTGTAATATTTTAAAATAGATCTTTTTTCATAATTACGAATCAAGAATTAAATAGATCATAATAAAGAAAGGAAGAGAGAGAGAGAAAGATAAGTATATTACATGTAAAATAAAAAAAACATTCCTATATATATATATATATAGTGTGTGTGTGTGTGTGTGTATGTGTAAAAAATTTTGTAAGTGAAAAATGACTAAAAAACAAAAGTCTATTGCTTACTTTTTAAAATATTAAAAAATCATTGTTTTATTTAAATAATCTCTTAAATAACTATACTCAACGAGAGATTTACCCCTCTTCATAGGAAGTGATATATAATATAATAAGCAAAGTAAGCTGTCTAGAATCGTATACGTAAATATGACACGCTTGGATCTAGGCTTAGAAAATTGAACAGATAAAATAATTTTGACATCCTCATTTTGCTCACTGCCTCATATGCACGAAGGGAAGTCTGTCTCTTTGAATTGTGTATATAGGACGCTACTTTAGCAGTCTTCCAATGATTAACACTTACAATGCTTGTTATATCATTTTATCCTTTTGTTATTTATATATAAATATTCAAGAGGGACAAACGATGCTCGCGAGTATTGTGAGCGTCAAATAGAATGCACTCTTTGTAGTTCAGAAAGAAAATAGTAATAAACCTTCAATATATAGAATATATAGAAACTTTTGTGGAAATTAATATTGATGAATACGAAAAAGTTTATAATGAAAAATACGTAAATGTTATAATTAAAATGTACATATGATACAATTATAATTTCTGAAAATTACTTATAAATGAAACATCAATCTATGTAATCATATTTTCAAAAAAAAGACAAGTAACAATAACAAAGAAAAAATAAGACAATTACATATCTTAATTGTCATTACAATATGCGTAATCGTCGTTTCAAGAGAAAGTAGACAGAAAAATTTATATTTTGATATATTTTTTACGATATATTTTTGTAATAAGAGTTGCATGATTTGTACAATTGCCTACATAATCATATTGATCAACAGTTGGAAATTTAAATCCAACAATGATACAAACAATACAAAATTTATTCCCAATCGTATATAAACAAGATTATTTGTTTTTAAAATGTGCTCGGTAAGTACAAAAAAAAATTTAAACTCATTTCGATCATTTAAGTTTGAGTTCGAGTCCGTCGATTGCTTGCGCTGCGACATTGGGCTTTCTTTTACGATTTAAATTGCAAAATTGACTATTATTGCCCGAGCATTTATATACTATATATCACGTTTACGAATCTCTAATCACAAAGAGTCAGGAAAGAGGAAAATAAGATTTTAGAAAGAAGACAAAAACAAGACCGGATTAAGAAAAAATTTGCAATAAAATCAGCATCATCACAAGTATGATATTGTCTTTTTAAACGAAAATTGCATTGAAATATTAACAGAACATGGATATGACAATGCAGACGTTAGATGCAGAGCACAGAGCATCCGAAAGCCTTCTGCATTTTATCCGTATGATTCAGTGCAGGAATATCTGCCCTATATGTAATCTTGCATTTCTCACAAAGATGAATTTGTATCAACATATAAATGAATACCATGCCGGGATGTCTTTCACATGCGATTGCTGCAACGTAATCTGCGATACTTGGCTAAAATTTCTAGAACATAGTTACTCTGTTCACAGGCACATAGTATTCTGTCCTTATTGTTATAAAGCTCATTCCAATCATTGGAGGTTGAGACTGCATTGGAGAATGCATGGTAAGAAAATATATTATCAATATGGCATTATGACAAACAGTTTTTTGAATCAAATATATTGTAAATTTATATTTGCACACAGAGCCGTTCGAGTGCGAATTATGTTACAACACATTTAAAACATTATCAAATTTGAGGGACCATCACCTCTCGCTGCATCATGAGGTGCCATTCGACTTACCGTATCGTCCACCGCAAAGAGCTCCAATGCAAAGAGAAGAATAAAATTACAAAGAATAATTAATACACGAAAGAGCATTTATACATATGATTTTATTCTTTGTCGAAAACTATCAATACCGTTAAAAATAATTTTTTATAAAGAACCTCATAAAAAATATGGTATTCTGAATAAGAAACATATATTACATCTGTGTAATGTTAAATCATCTTTCAACGATTTAGCAGATTAAATGAATAATGTGATTCTTCAAATAAAACACAAATTTTTATATTTTGGACTACTACTAGATTATGACAGTTAACATATCAAATTAAAACAAACATGTATAAATATAAAAGTTTTTAAATAAAAATTGTCAGAGAATAAAAATCAGAGATTTAATTTTTCTTAAAAACAAATAGATTAAATATTTTATCTCCTAATTAAATATTAAAAATATGCCTAATTTTGATAATCTTTAACTTATTTAAGGTACTTATTTGCGTATACAGCTTAAACAAATAAACTTGTCTTGATATTTCGATATTTGTACATTTCTGCAATCGTACTTACATTACTCACAATCAGTGATTACAAATTTGCTATAGGTTTATTCAGCGTATAGTAATAGTATCAGAAGAAGCAATACAAAGTTTGGATACATATAGACAGGACTTGTTGTTTACTATTAAATGTTTAAATATAAAATATGTTCAGATGAGATTCAGACAAAAAAATCATACACATTTGTCGGTCAAATCTAATATCACAAAATTCCTCCAGTCTTCATGCTAAGTACGTGCTGCGATGTTGTTCTTATCGACTTTCTGAATCTGTAATTGCAAAATTCAAATTACCTGAAATTTTACATATCAATTCGTATATGAAGATTTCGAAAGAATAGAAATAACCTGTCGTAAAAAAGTGCGAAAAACAAAACCGAATTGTAAAATTATTTGTTAACAACAATTTTTTCAAAAGGAATTTGTATTAAATCAAATCGCCACCATCATGGGTGCCATCTTATCAACGAATAAAGAAAGCAAAGATTATCACAGGAGTCTGTGTTCTATAATTCTATGCCGGAATGTCTGCTGCAAATGTAACGTTCACTTTAAAACAAAGATAAGTTTGGACGAACACATGCAAGGAGTCCATGCCGAAACATCTTACATGTGTCATTATTGCAATTCAATCAGCAAGACTTGGTTCACGTTTCAACAGCATATTTATGCATTTCACAATGACATAGTATTTTGTTCTTATTGTTATAAAGCGTATAGCAATTATTCGAGTTTATTTCTGCACTGGAAAACGCATGGTAAGAACAGATATCTTTGTCCGTACAAATAATTCTTATGGATCGAATATCTGTATCATATAAAGAATTTGCAATTTTTGTATAAACATTTGCAGAACCGTTCGAGTGCGAAATATGTAACGATACGTTTGTTACTCCACAGAGTTTGAGAGAACATCGTATTGCATTACATCGGAACGTACCATTCCAACGAATGTTTTTCCAACGTTTTAGAAAATAAGGTCAAATTAAAAGATGAAAGAAACGCTTTCATTAATTTTTGCCTATGTTAATTACATTCAAAAATTTGCGGATATATCGAAAATGACTTTTATTCAGGAAGAAAATATTATAAGATACATTATTAGAAAAACAGAAATTTGCTTTCGGTACATGTAATGGAAGCAAATTTCAAGCAGATACACTGTTAGAAATGTTCTTAAATTTCATTAAATTTTAAGTTATAGAATTTAAACTTAATTTCATTGGCATTATTTAAATTTAATGTATTTATGACTAAAAAGTATATTTGTGTACATATACATAAAATTTTATGTATTTTTCATGAAAATTTATGAAATTTAATGAACTTTTCATAAAATTTTATTAAAAGTACATTAAATTTCATAAATTTAATGTACACGTTCATTACATTTAAGTGATTACTGTAACTTAATTTTCAGTTAAATCATTCATTACTTTTAATTTCGCTCATAACCACGAGTTTCATTTACATGTAAAGGAAGCTCGTGGTTACATTTCTAACAGTGTACATTAAAAATATTTAATATTTAATGTTGTCAATGAAAATGAAATTATAAGTAACTTAAATTTAACGTTTACTTATGTTAAATTTCATGCAAATCTAAAATGAAATTTAATAAAAAAAATATACTAAACGTCGTAAAATTTTATAAAAAGTACACTAAATTTCATGTATACAAATATACTTTTCAATTGCAGATATAATACATTAAATTTAATTTAGCGTCATAAAATTGAATTTAATTTATGTAACTTAAAGTACATTAAATTTCATGACATTTTTAACAGTGTATATTTAAAATATATATTTTATAGATATTGAATTGTCTTGATTCATAATGACTTGACATAAATTAATAGCCTAACTCACAATAAAAAATATAACGTTTATCTTTATTCTATTAGGTCCTTAGATTCCATGTTAAATTTAAAGAAAAAAAATCCATTTTCATATATACATAAAAATTTGTAAATAAAAGACTGATCAAAGTCAAAACATTTGACTTTGAAAAAGAAATTAATTCCTTTTAAAGACAAATGAATTTTAAATATCTTCCAAGACACATTAGCGTCTTCTTATCCTTATTGATATTTGTATCCTATTTCTTTTTATATAGATACTTATAAAAGTAATAAGAATTAATCCAGCATGCGAAAGATCCATCATGTGTAATAAAGGTGCGAAAAACTATTGTGTGTATTAAAGATTAAAGATTATTTTATGCATAAGTAATATTTAATGATACCTGCCTCAATTTACACTTTCGAATTTATTATTGTCCGAATGAACTTCATTATTTCCTGTAATTTTTTAATGTTAATTCATTCAAAATTTAACAAATAATGAAATCGACTGTACATTGTCACAACACGTGTGAAAAATTTATATATATAATTTCGAAAGTCCGCATAGAAAACGTTAGAGTTGGAACAACCTTGCACGCGCACGTAATACATCGAAAACTATTTATAAATGAAACACCGCCATCGTATTATTGCTCGAAATAAGTTACCCAACATGCGACGTCCACACTTCTGATGACGTTTGTGTACACGGTGTCCAGAAAGAAACGTGTTTTAATATTTTTCAAATATTATATTTTTCAAATAGATTTATAATCTTGATAAATGATCTTGTCCTAAATGATTTCTTCAATTTAAAGATAATTATAATTACCCTTTTTCTTTGATAATCCTCAGATGTCTCAGATTACCTTTCATTAAAAATTTCTCGCCGCAATACTTAAAAAAAAATTAACATTTTAACTGTAAGAATATTTTTATCTAAATGATGAATAATAAATTGGATAAATTTCTAAATTGGATAAATTTAAACAAAACCTAAGTGCGGACTTGATTAGAAAATGAACTCTGTTATATTGTTTTTTTCTTCTTCCTTTCACTTCCTTATTTTCCTCCACATAAAAGAACGGAGATGAGAACAGCGCGCACGCTCTTCACGCAAGAATAAAATAAACGAGACGTCAAAGAGGCGGACTGTAAAATATATCTGTGGGGTCCCACGCAATTTGGCGACGACGGAGACAGCGGAAAACGGTCAGCTCTATCGTCTTCACGATCAAAACTCGCCGCGAGATTTTCCTACATGGTGACAAAGTGTGGTCCAAGTAGACGTCGCACGAAAAGCGAAGTCTGCGAAGATTTATCGTTAATGTAATCTTGTTATCCAGATAATGTGATTACTATATTAGTGATCGATTTAATTAGCAAAAGTGGAAGTCGTTTTCGCGATTCGCCATATAATTGAAACTTTCGCGCAAATAATATACGGAGAAATATCTTGTATATTACAAGAGATTTTTGTTGATTTAATAAACTTAGGATTTAAAATAAAACTTGCGTAATTGTGATTTATGTGCACACATTTAATCTAGAAATGCACGAATGTGAATTCGTTGGGTTTGTATAAGAAAAATCTAGATCGAGCTTTCATATTTTTAAAGCTCCAATATGTGGCTATACGAAAAGAAGAATTTAATCTGACAAATACAATACTATAAAAGATGATAAAAGAAATCTATCAGTAATACTTTTGAACAGATTTCTACAAAGAACACTTCGTGAGGATGCAGCGAGTCCTTAGTCTTCAAATGACTCGCAATATCGACGAGTCCAGTGAATACGTGACGAAACGGTTGTGTTTCTCGTTTCTTTTCTCGGTTGGTTTCCTATGTCTCCTATGCGGTTTTCTGCTGGGCCGTTTCACCGTTGAGAGATCATTGGAGGCCCAGGCGCAAAAGATACGAAGTGAATTGGCAGGAAATGGTCTCCAAAATACAGAGTATCTTCAAGAAATAATGCTCCAGGAATTAGAAAGAGTGTCACTCGACTACGATCGCACGACGTATATTGTCTTAATATCTTATCATTTTTAATTATATATGACAATATATCTGAATATATTCTCACTTATATATCAGAATATAATATCATATAGTAGATTAATCTTTATGAAAAATTCCATTAGAAAATTATCGAATTAAATTCTTTACTAATAAATGTTCGTTATTTTCAATTAGAAATAGACAGATGTCAAATGAAGATATGCGACGCATAAGTGGGCTCTTTTCCAACTTGTCACTCATTCATAAAGTGTACAACCATGCACCATGTATTCATGCGACTGTCCGCGGTTCACGAGAATCAGGTGAGTCCTTAATGTTTTAGTTATATTTATTTGGATAATAAATGAAAAGTTTACTATATCGACTCTTAAATAGAGTTTACTATATCGACTTTTAAAATAATCTCTTACTCTATTTAATATATGCGCAAATCATTTTGCAATTTTCAATTACATTTACATGCAATTCACAAACAGTCATATGAAATAATCTTTAATTTTTTTATAAATGGGTGATCCTATTTAAGAATCATTTACCTCCTTTTATTTTTGTAAACTTTTTATGAAACTTGGCCTATAATATGGAATAATTTGGTAATATTTTCGCTTTATTTTAAGCTCATCAATATTGCACAAACAGTTAAGTATTGATTTCCAAACAGACCTCCAAATTTTAATTACATTATGAATCTTGTAAACTCCTTTATTACAGATTACTACCTTTTTTACATTTTCAGGCTACATTTAAACAGCGTCCAAGAATCTTCTAAAATTAAATTTTATTAAGTTTTAACTAAGATATAATAAGATTATTATTGTTTTTATTTTGAATTGGGAATTATTGGGAATTTTAGAATTCTAAAGCTAGAATGAAATTCAGCTTTGAAAACAGATTCTTCTTTAAGTTTTTCTTTAAAGATTTAATGTGATCATGTTTCGAATAGACCGGTCTCGGAAGTTACTTGACACTATCGTGTCTCTTAATTTTATCATTGCATATATTTACTTAAAGAAAAACAATGCCTTTTATCTTTTCTCTCGTCTTCTACAGCAGGATTTTCGTTTATTCTACTGATTTGTTTCAGATAGATATATTATCTTATCCGTTAATGAAGACGGTATAACATTAGCTCTGGAATTGGCACAAGTTCTAGACAAGATATGTTTAGGACACAATTGGCGACCACGACGAAGTTTAATCTTTTGCATGTCTTTTACATCTTCGGACATTTGCCCACAAGCTCTGCCTACATTTATATGGCGAAGAACTATGGCTTACGTGACGGTGCACGGTCGTTTTGTGCGAGGTTTGCTCGAATTTTTATTACTTACGTGTTATAAACATTATATAGGAAACACAAATATAAAGAATTATCTGATTTCAGCTAACAATCACGCGGTTTTATTCGGATCAGATATCATACGATCCTTAGCTGTCGAAGCTATCAGGACAATACCCGGCGATAATAACTGGACATATCTCGAACACGAAGTGTTCGGTCCTCGCCTTTCTTTAGATATTCCGCAAGTGATATTTTCGTTCGTAAGTAGTCTCATTTCATACAAAGCTTTTTCAGAATTTCATCAATATAAATTGCATTTATTTTTAATTTAATAACATATATTGCTATATTTTAAATTCTAAATTAAGATTCAAACAATTTTATTATTAAAGTATCTGCTTAAAATTTGTAAATATTTTATGAAATGTCTATTTGGTTAATAATATTAATCGGATGATTTCTGTGCTTTCATCTCTTTTTTTTTATGCAGAATAATAATAGCCTTACACACAATCATCACAATCAAAATTCCCAACTATACGACATAACTCTGGCTCAGATGGTTGGCCAAACTATATGGCGATTGTCCGAATGTACAGTTATTCAATGGGAACCTAAGTATTTTAACGAAACCGTTAATGAAATAGTGGAGTCTATTAACACTCAGACAAGCAGATTTCAAGATGCAAAGGGTATTTTTTATTTTCTTTGATTTCATTAATTTTCAACAAGAGTGTTAAAAAGCCTGAATTAATCGTTGCTTTTCTTCAGAGAAACTGAAGAAAACATTAAGGATATTGCTCACAGCTGTGGAAGAATTTAATGCAGAAATCAACACGACAGATGATGTTCAGTAAGTATAGTAAACTCAGAATTAATTAATGATCAATTAATTAATAATCTTAATAATATCTGTATGAAATCAATGACATGGATATCACAGAAATTACTAGAATTAAAATTATTAAGAAACTTGTCTCATATAACTTGCTAATTATATTTTAATGCGGCGAAATATTTTAGGATGCTGCATATGAGGATATGGAATGATCTGCTTCTGGATCTGGATAAGGCGCTTCTATGTTCTGATAAAATTGATTCGCATTCCAGAACCGATCTAGCGACGTTTCGGAAATTGTCGCACGATTCCATTAGTGAATCTACCATATTAGCTTATCTCGACCAGATGACGAAATGTTATGAGGACGCTATAGAAATTCTGCAAGAAATATAAGACGAAAAAGAGAAACTTCTCTCTCGAAAGGATATAAGAAAGACTTCAGAATATATAGATTGTTACAGGACACCTGCTTCTTGTTGTGACAATACACATTTTTCATGAATTGCTCAGTCTCAATTGTTTTCTACGCAAAGCAACATAAATGACAAAACGAGTATTAGTGAGTATGAAGAATTTATAGCTCATTTTTATATTATAAATAGTACATGAAAATCGTTTTGACATTTCCTTTGCTTTACCTTATTTCATGTTTATTGCCCAGCTAAAGACAATTACAATTTTACAGTGAATGTAAATAAAATATATATTTCTATCTGTGTGTAAAAATTTACAAAAATAACACATAACATAATACTTATTTGTATATTTTTATACAATATATATAACATATGCTTTCGCTATCACATTTTATACTTTTTTGGAATTACTATAAAACTTTGTGGAATTTATATATATTCGTAATTTGTACCCTACATGTAAAAAACATTAGATTCTCTTCAAATTAAATATTAAATTAAATAAGAATTAGCTTTTAAATATATATAATATACTAATTTAGAAGAGTTTAATGTAATTATATATTTATGTTTATGTAACATTACTTTAGCTTTAAATTGTAAAGCTATTTATCTGACATTGAAAATGTTACATACTCCACATTAAATAATCCAATCATGATATATAAATAGATCGGAATGCGAATAACATCATATCAAATCTGTTCAGATTTTTCTGATTTATGTCAATTTCATCGTATCCCTCCTATACCATATCTTATTTCTTTTTCGAACTGTGATGCATCGAGAGTACCCTCTATCGCCTCACAATTCGGATTGAAGACAGAATAAGCGCTGGGTTCGCCACGTCGTTTCGGCCCGGATCTGGTGTTCAAGCAGATAAAGATCAGAGCCGACAGTACGAAGTAGACAGCACCGAACTCGTACTCTAATGCGATCATATATAACGTGGCCCATAACAGAAAGTATAATAAATAGATTATTCGTTTTAACACTGTACTTTGCGATTCCTGTGTGTTGTCCTCCTCCTGAACGTCAATCTCCTGGACATCCTCTTCGACATCCACTGACTGTTTGCATAGTTTAACCTACAAACAAAGGAAGAAATTTATATTCCTTCCTCAAAACATTTTTTAAAACTTCCCGCAACTTTCTTTATTTTTTTCCCTCATAAATATAACCTCACCTGCTCCTCCTTCATCGATTCTTCAAATTTCTCGATTCTGATTTCACGATTCCACGAAAATATGTTTCTCATTACACTCTTGATCGATTCCATCATTTCCTGTCTGCGCTTCTTGCGTCTATACGCCTCCAATCTTTCCTTCACCGTCATCGCGATTATTCTGAATTCATCACGATGATGTTTGACATATCAAATGTTTGCAATTGCTGCCTGCTGACAATCTGCCATTGCTAGCAATAGTGGCATGTGGCAAACGCGACTTAAAATCGACTGAATCAATTTCGAGATATCGATATTAGTCAAGTTCTGGTCGAGAAATCGAAAAATTAAATTTCAATTTCTCTAATCAGAGTTGGACGAAGTGGCTCTTAAAATCCGACTTTACAATTTATGGTTAACTCTTAACTGAGGTTCAATTTATTCCTGATCTTTTTCCAGTTCTAAGATTCGAACTCGATTAAGAATTAACCATGAGTTGTGAAACTAAAGGTGAGTTCCAAATTACGCAGAAAACGCATATACTGCATTATTAGTTGCTTTCCATTTACACATAAGTGAAACTAAGTCTGAAGTGAACTGAGTATTTCATACTTGACAAAAAAAAAACAAAGTATGTATTTCATACTTTGGTAAAAATAAGTTATCACATGATAACACAGATTTATAATCTCACTTTTAAAGTGAGTTTACGAAATTCTAAAGCACGGTCTCGATTTTGTATAAATTATAGGCAAAAGCTCAGTTAAATCTTACTTGTTAGAATGTAAAAGGATGCTCATTCAACTGAGTTATGACATCACAAATGAGAATTATCTGAGAATTCTCTAAGAATTATCTATCGGTGGAAAGCAACTATTGTTAAACAGTGCTTCAAAATCAGTTCGTTTTATCAATGCACATAATTTAGTTATTCGGAACGATTTCCTGGGCGATCTGGTCATTAATGCAAATTATAAAAATATTATATATTTTAATTGTATTATTACATTATACAAAGTGAAAATTTTTAAATATAATAGACCGAATATCTCGGAAAACATGAAAAATATGGAAAAATGTTTCAGATAAAAGTTGTACAGTCTGAAGGGATACAAATAAAATATACTGATAAAAATATAAATACTGACAAAATATCGATGGATAAGTCGAGAAAGTCCAGTGTCTTGGCCACCTAGATTATCTAATCTGAGAGATTATCTGATCTACCTAGATTTTTTTTCTTTTGAGGCAAAATTCAAGAAATTTTTTATGAATTATTAATTCTTCAACTACTGAAAATATGATGCTAAAAATACGCCAAATGTTAAATAATTTCAAGAAACGAATTACAAAGTGTGCATAATAATTTTCAACGAAGATTGCAAACTTGGATAAATGCAAGTGGACAACATTTCGAACACTTACATTATTAAAATTTTCCTTTTTCAAAAGAAAAATTTGTTTGAATTTATTTCATTATGTAAAAATTCTGTTTCTTTTGAAATTGTGTCTTTCACTTCTTCGTAGATTTATTAATTAAAGTTTATTTCTTTTTTATTTTTTTCCTGAGTTCTCTTTCCATCATTTGTCCTTCAATCGTCTTAGGCCTATAGTCATTTAATTATATAGACAACACATAATTCACGTAAAAATGTGCATGTATAAAATATAAAATATCTCGCAAATTATTAATTTTTCGATAGCTTGAATACTTTTATGTGCCGAATAATCAGAGGAATCATACTACATAAAAAAAATTATATAATTCCATTTAAAAAAATGATGATAACCTTTATAATCTTAAAAATTGATTTTTTTGGACAATTTATTTTATCAATATCCCTTTAGATCGTACAACTTTTATCTGAAACATTTTTCCGTATCTTTCATATTTTCCGAAATATTCGATCCATTACGTTTGAAATTTTTACTCTGTATATAATAATATAATATATTGCTGTATTATTATGTATATTACATTATTTATTATATTTTTAATTATTAATTATTATTATCTAACATATAATAATGTAACATCAAACTTCGAAAATTAACTTCTAAACTTATAATATTAATTAAGAGATTCTCGTAATTAATATTAATTATGAGAAATAAACTAATTATAATATAAAATAAACAACTTTCAAGGCAAACAAATTCGTTTCGACTTCTTCTTCGCCATAACATTTGTTCTTCTTTAAGATGCGTTCCAAATGGTACTCATAATGTGAGTGTTATTTGTCTTTGTTTAACATTTAATAAACAACAAGAATGAAATGATTTCATAAGCATTGCAAACGTCAAGATGACCCATTTAAAAGATACAATACCACGAATATTTGTTCCAAATTATAAAGCGCATAATATCATACATATATTTATAAATTAACGCATTAAACGCATCAACTGTCTCAAGTCGGAATAAAAGCAATCAAAGCACTGAAAGAAATGCTAAGAATTTAGGATAAACAGTACAATCTAGGAAATTCTCAACGCTACGAAAACGTTTCCAATGTGCTTGAATCAGACTTTTTATATATAATCTACATGCACTACACTACTGCTTCATGAATAACTTCGAATATATCCTAAGAGAAGCAGAATTTTTTATAATTATAAACAAAAAAACAATGAAAATTTGATAATTATATGCATCTTTATAAGATCTTAATGTATCGCAATTATTTATATTTAACTGTACGATTATAAAATAATATTGCTGCCGAAAAAAATTATTCGTTTAAAAAGATTATTAAAAAAATATCGTAAATCTGTGAGGGAAAAAGAAAAGAAGCTAATACCTTGAAAACATTTAATAAATCGAATGATATTTAATAAAAGGACTTCTATACTTAAGGACTTCTATACTTAAAAAATTAATCAAATTAAAATAAATTGACATATGCTTTTTTATACACACAATATTTCAATAATTTATAGATAATTTGATCATTTCTTTGCACATACTTTATCTTATTTTATAATAATAAAAATCCATATTGTTTAATCTGATGAAATACTGAATATACAGAAAGTACAAACAAATAAATGCAATTTCTTTTTTCCACTTATGGTAAAGTCTTATTTAAGAAATTTATAAGCAGAATATTTTAATTAAATTTATAAGCAGAAAGAAAAATAACATGGAATGTATGTATTCATTATCTTACAACAGCAACATTACGTCATCGTTTATCTCGCCTAGTTGTTTGTCATCAAATGTTAAATGTGTTATTGGAAGATAAATATTTCACATATCGTCACAATCATAGAATATAAAAATTTATCGCTCTTTGTAATTCTCCTAAGCGCTTAGAATTTGCACATTATAATAGTGTATGTGTAAGATTGAATTACTGTCGAATAAGCTGGCTGCTAACTGATGATAACAAGTGACGTGGTAAGTTTCCTTTTTATTCACTTTATTCTTATTCTATTTAACCATGAACAAGAACCGAAAAAAAAAAAATACAAAGATGATCACAAAACTGATTCTTATTTATTAAGATCAATTTCATTAAGATCAATCTAAAATTAGAACTTTTAATTAATAATTAATTGATTATAATAGTTAAGGACTATAGACATTTTTTTAAATCAAATACAATCAAAGACAACATTCGCAGATAATAAAAATTGAAGATAATAATTCATAAAAAATAATATAAATCTTTTAAAAATTTAAGAAATGAAAAATATTCTATTGCCTGTTTCTACCAACATTAATTTTTTGAATTCAACTTACTCTTGATTTCTTTTAGTTCTTAGAAATCTACTTAGATTAACTTTAATCTTTGTTTAATTTACTGTCCATCTTTTTTCTAAAAATTAGAAAAAATAAAGAGTAAGTTAAACTAAGATTGAAGTTAATTTGTATTGGTAGAAACAGACATAGCTACAGTTGTATACCAATTCCTGACGTCAGTGCAAGCAAGATCATGCGACACCAGTCGGTCTTGCATCAGTCTCATAGAAGTCATCGGGACGACTGCACGTGCGTTATGTCACGATCGCCTAGCGAGTTAGAAAATGTTTGTGATAACGATAATAATGGTAGAAACATAAAAAATATTAGAAGAAACATCACCGGCAGGATGACTAATGGTAACCAGCAGGAAGGTCGTGTTCTGGTACTTTACACGGGTGGTACGATAGGAATGATGAGAAATGAACAAGGAGGTGATTATTTCATGAAATAAAAAATTACTTTAGATGTAAATTTCGAAAAAAATCTTGCGCCGTAAAATCTTCATCACCATAAATTTCAGACATAGCTAAGTTTTTACATATGAATGTTCTTCTTCATTTTTTATGAAATCTGATCTCACGAGGAATCTCCGATTTTGTCCTTAATTTTCTTCTTAATTTTTCTCTCGTTTCACAGACTACGCAACTTACGGATTTTTAGTGTCTTTCGTCCACAGATCATTGATAGAATATATTCATGTAATTTAGTTTTTAATGAATAAAATGGGTTCCAATGAAGATTTTAGATCCAAAGAATAGTTTACGTAATTTGTCTTGGATCTCTGGTTTTATCTTTGCTACAGAATTTTTGAATATAAATCGAAAGAAAATTATAAACATAATATAATACAATTAAAACTCCAAATGTGATGACAAATAAATTAGTGTGATTACAATAAATTTAAAATAATGTCGTTGTGACATCATAATTATCTCTATAATTATCTTTATTATATTTTGTTGATAACAACAAAATGACTGTTTTCTGCAGTACTGGTGCCATTAGCTAATGCGTTTGTAAAAAACCTACGGAAATATCCACAATTGTATGATCGAGAATATGCCGAGAAAAGATTCGGGGCGATGGGACCGCTAGTTTTGCCGTAAGTATTTAACATTTAATATTATTTGCAGATATTAATTGTGAAGTCCCATGCAGAAATAATGAATCAACAATGATTTCCACAAACTCGTATTGTCGACTAAATTCGTTGGAATTTTAATTTTGAACTTTCACTCGTGAGAAAGAAATCGGATATTAAATAAATCATTTGAATTGCTTCTAAAAATATAATTCCTTAATAATTGATATTTATAGTTAATATACTTATATTTAAGATTGTCTTGGAATAAGAATGAATTATAAATACTGGCCTAAGACCTTTTTTATTATTTTTAAATTGAATATAGTTTTCAACAAGATTGAGAAGATTAATCAGTCGATTTATTGTAAAAGATAAGTAATTAAGCAGCATTGATTTTGAAAATTGGAAATTTGGAATTTCTTCTGTGCCAGTTTTTTCAATCCGATTATTTTCCATAGGAAAACATGAACCGTAAAAATTCCTAGTTTGCGGAAGAACGTGAACCGGTTCCCCGCGTACCATTTCGCTTTCTCTTAAAAGTTTTCCTCTTAATCTTGCAGCGTGACTGCAACTGACAATCGTCGGGTTGTTTACAACGTATTCGAGTACTCGAATCTCTGCGATTCCAGTAATATGACCATGGATGGCTGGATTCGTATTGCTAACGATATTAAGGTGTGTGAAACGATGTTAATTCAGACAGAGACTTAAGAACTTAAAAAAAATATGTTTCCTCTCTTATTTAAATTTTTTAATTTCAATTTATT